GGTTTATTTAGGAGGCGGTGGCGAATGAACCAGTAAGAGACAGCGAGCAGGCTGTTAATGGATCTGTCACAAGCAAAAGCTCAAGTTATCAATTACCGCTTTCATTATCACAGGTATGGAAATATATTATTTTCCGTTTCTTGAGGAGTATTTTTACTGTAAACTATTTTTTGAGAGTAATATAGTTGCTGTAAGAGCGACAGACATAGGATCAAGGATCATCGCTCCACATGAGTTGAGGTCCCTGATCTTCTACTGCATTTCTTTCAGACAGTTGCTCCTGAGTGTGCATGTACCGATCCGCTCGGGATGCGACACGACTTCTGCTATCATCTCCCTGAGAATGAATCGATTCATGGACAAAGGTTCTCGTGCGAACATTTGGCCACTGTCGATCGTTTAGGTAGAAATTTTGTGGTAATAACAATGTCGAGATAGTAAAGCCAGCTTAACACTTTTTGCAGGCCTGCTCAACAGCACGCGCTAGATACTCGTACGTGCTCACATCTCTCGTGTGTTGTATTGATTGATTGTTTACAAGCCAATGTTTTACTGCATCTCACAAAATCATTTATTGTGGAAGTCCCCGATATCTTGTGAGTTTTAGTGTGCAACCTTACTTTGGATCTGTTTTGTGAAGTCCTTACTGTGATCAAGTTGTGCCGATTTTTTGAACTCGGCGGAGCGGTGATGTACTGGCAAGAGGCGTCTTTTACCTTACGGTCGATTTACGGATTCACCGAGTTCTCCCATCACTTCGGTGCCAACTTGGTACCAGACTCGTCTGGGAAGTCACAAATGGGTAGTCCTGTTGATGACTGTGTAGGCCGAATCAAATTCAGTGCAACATCGATTCAAAATAGAAATAGAGAAATAGAATGCCGTGCGCATCAAGAGTTTAGATACCACCGAGTAACATTCTGATCCCTAGGACCTGAAAACGCTCGTTGCAAAAGGAAACGTCTGAGTTTTTGGGCTTTCGTTCTTGCGTCTATGTCGCCATCGTGAATTGGAAGTTTCATAATAAGGCGTGGATTAGCCACAGTTCATGGTATTGCCGTTGGCGAAAATTTTTTGCAAAATACGACCTTCTCTCAGAAACTCCTCTGATACGCCTTTCCCTTTCCGCGTCCACCGTACCACCTACCACCTTTCTGAATTCCCCCAATTCCCGACCACTCTACCGGAAATTTCTCCCAGAAATCAGTCTACTCTCCAAACTTTCGTGCGGTCGAGTGGGAGGGGAGAAGGGAAGTATGGAGCACTCGAAGAAAATCCGAGAAAACTCAACAACCGGAAACATCTACCTCATAAGCTGAAACGTCCTTTCTTCCTTCTAGTGAACAATACGACCCCCATCGCTGCCTCACAGGGGATCCCAAAGTACGACGTGCCCTGAATGGCTTTCTTCATAAGTCTTCTTTTCCCTTGCGTTAGTCCCGCGCCGTCGCACGGGTCCGCTGTTCTTGTTAGACGTTGCCACTTGATTCCGATCCACTGCATCTTTTCTCGTGGTATTCACTTCAACGGGACTTCTTGATGACGTCCCTCATCTTTTCTTTGGGGCTCCTCGTGGTCGCTTGCCTGGAACTTCGAATTCCACGCCTTCCTTATTGGGTGATCCTCAGGCCTCCTCAGTATGTGCCAATATCATCGCACTCGCTGCTCTCTTTTTGCAACGCAAAAAGAGGGTTTATGCCTTGGCGGGAATCGAACTCGTGGCTCAGAATGTAGACATGAGCCTGCACTCTCAACCAGTCGGCTACCCCTACCACCTTCCTTCACGAGTATGAGGCACTGCTTTCCTAGAAGCGCTAAAGATTTGCCAATTTCGCTGCTCTTTCTTCTGTAAGGCGACAGTGCCATTGTGAGTACCTGGGTCCGCTTATGGGATTTGTTTTCTTCTGGAGTAGGTGAGTCTGGCGGGTGTGTTGGTGTCTGTTGGGATGTGTTGGTGTCTGTTGTCTCGCAAATCTCTGCACCTTTTCATTGGTTGATTCTCGTATGCTGCCGTCTTCCCCTGGAAGTTTCTAGAAATTCTGAGAATTTGTTTTTGGTTTGAATATTCGGCGTGGAGCGTTTGGTGGGGGCATACTGCTTGCTGCTTCCCGTCGATCACCACCTATGCCTCCGATGGAGACTTGTAAAACCCTGCAAATCCATGCAACAGCAGGCAGCCTGGACAAGGGTCTACGGGTTTCACCAAGGTGAGTCCTGTAGTTCAACTGGAGCTAGCAGAAGACACTTGCAAAAATGCGATGTGCCTCTTCCGTCTCCCCTCCTCCTCACCTCTGAGCAGAACCACCGAATGTTCTTTCAACGATTCCTACACTATACAGGGGGGGGGGGGCAAAAAAAGACACTTTTCTTCCTTGACTTTCAAGGCGCTATAAGTTACACTTTATTAATTCTGATTGGACATTTCCACCACCATATTCAACAGCATATTAACAGGTACCAGTCGGATCGCCCGGCTGACGCCGAGCTCTCCTCCTTTTCATTAGCTCGGCTTCGAGCTGGCCTGGCCTCGCCAGGCGCATTCCATTATGGGAAACGGAACTCTTTCAATCACTGGGTTGCTCATACGCTGGGCGCTACAAGAGACAGAGCAACCCTGCGGATCCTGCACTCCTAAGCAAACGCTTATACTTGCGGTCCGCGCCATAACGCCCATACAACAATACATAGACCTATAGATATAGATACAAAGTGCAGTCGATCAATACAGCGCTTGCTGAAGTATAAATAATTGTGGGTACTATACTCCCTTATTATTCGTTCTCATCAGTAATTGAAAGTTCAAAAGAAAAAATTCTCAAAATTTTCCTGACTTTCCTGTTTCAGGTGCAGGGCACATCATTGGTTGGGATTTTAGTCGACTCTATACGACCCCCTCCCCTTTTTTTGGGAGTTGGTACGACCCTACCCCCTCCCCCCAGCCCTCTGTCCTTCCTCATCGAATCGAGCCGTCGAGCGGGGGGGGGGGGTGTAAATAGCACATGTGAAACAGGAAAAGCCGCGAGACAATACGACCCCCCCCTTTACAACGTCCATGAAGCGAGAAAAATCAACTATCAAAATAAATTTTTCTCAGCCCAAATACGACCCCCCATTGGGGATTCCCCAACAACGATGTGCCCTGTTCAGGTGTACTACATCCCCACCCCTCCTTCGTCGACATCGACATTATATATGGTAGGATAGTGAGATGAGTTCATTTTCTGTTGTTATCAGGGAAGTGATGGCTAAAGGAAAAGTTAGCCCGACTGAACCTTTACCACTGTAGTGGTCATAGATGTCGTGAAAATGTCCCCTTATCCTTTCTTATCAATTGATAAGATTGCCTGTCACCCGTCAACAGTGTCGCTATCACTAAAACTCTATAATTTGGTAGTGTAAAGGCTCCAGCACTTTGACTGAACAACAACGGCAACGTTCCTTATCAGCCCCTATCAGCTGTTATCACTTCCCGTCACCCGCCGTCGCCGTCCCCACCTCCCTCTTTATATCATTTGCTGAAATCAACGCCTAGCTGATGCTGTGTCCCGCGTTATGGATATGGTGACCTTCCCATTCTAACTCCCCTTATCAAATCTTATCAGCTGCTAGCAGTTCTTGTCACCCACTAATGGTATTCCTGTGCCATAGCCTATATCATACCTTGGAACAAACGTCCCAGTGCTGCTGTGACCCGCGCTATGGACTCGGCACCCCTCCCCTTCTAACGCCTCCCATCAGGTCTTATCAACTAACATCATTCCCTGTCTTCCACCAATGATGTTCCTGTTCCACATCCTGTGTCATACTTTGAAACTAACGTCCCATTGTTGCTGTGTCCCGCACACTATGAGCTCGGTGACTCTCACATTCTGACGCCTCTTATCAGATCTTATCAGCTGGTATCAATCCCTGTCACCCACCAATAATGTTCCCGTCACAGCCTGTGTATTACTGCTTGGAACCAACTTCCTACAGCAACTGGGAGACGGTCGCTATAAATTTCGTGACAGACACACACAGACATACATAGCGAATTATATATAGTAGGATTATGGTGCTCCGCCACAGTCTTATGGACGAGCGCCATCGAGAGATTCTGCCACGCGACCGTGATTCGGTGCCTGAGTTCAGCGAGATCGTTGACTTCTACGCCACCGCAGACCAACCGTGTTTGAAATCGCCTGATTCCGGGTAATGGGTCCCCGACGGGCGGACGGTTTGGTCAGATGACACACCTGAATCTTCCTCAGCTTCTCAACGCCCTTCTACTCCAAGTAGGCGAGAGTTTTTCCAACTCTCTTCGATTCCGTGTGGAGGCACCCAATCCTGTAGCAGTACGAAGTCTCCAAGAAGGTACAGGCGATGACATGAAGGCAGGATATTTCACGAGTGGTCGATGTAACCGTCAGCGCTCACCTTCAGTCCGGGGTCCACGAAGAAAATATCGGTCTTTCCATTCCAGGTACTTCCGGTCCATACCATCAACCCGCGTCTACAGAGAAGATGATATCCTGGACCGTAGCGACGTTGTCGGAGCTGCTCAATGGTGGTCTCCAGATCAAGAGTACTGGTCTCCAGGTAGCTATCCATGGGTGACTCCATACTAGAAGTTTCGCAGCTGTTTGGAGGTGACGTGAATTCCAAAGCTTCTCCAGTCAGGCTGCGACTGGAGATGACTTCATATTTTGGTGTACATGAAGGTGATGGGCGAGAGCCAGCTCCTGCTTATCGAGGAACATCTTGGGTATCTTCCGCCCTGGTACTCGTATCCACGTCCTCTGTCTGGGCTGCGAAAACTTTGCTGATATGTGACTCGGCCGAAGTGTTTTTTGCCCCCCTCCCCTGTATATCAACTCATTCAAGAGAATAGGAGTACAGTAGTCCATAGTGTGAAATAGTTGATATTGTTATTTTATATTATTCGTCTGTTTCAGTTGGCTTCCATTGCTCAACATTTTCCGAAACAACGCGTAATTGCATATGACTTGGGAGTTGTGAATATGGATTTTTTCAAGGTGAATTTTTTCCTTATGACTCTTCTAAAGAAATACTTAAGTTAGCTTAGTTTTTAGTTAGTTAGACTCGAGTGTTATTCAGAGCATTCACTATTTACCTAGTCGCTCCCAATACTCGGAATAAACCCGTCCAGAAAGCCCAGATTTGAAGTCATTGCTCGTAGACAGTCGTTTTGATTTGGTGAAACCCTCGTCAAAGCATATTTTTCTGTTTTTAAACGTTATGATTTGCAATTTTTCAACCCACTTATGGATACTGCTGCTATGATGCAATTTGTTGAAGAACTACGACTTTGTGGAGCACCGTATTTTCAACTTTTCACAATATCCCGATTACGTCGAGGATCTGAGGCAGTATCGTTGGAAACCAATAATTATTGCGGTATGTTGTAGCGTAGTTGAGTTGCATTGGTCATTTCCCTTCTCCCTTCTAGCTTTTTGTTAGTTTCGCCTCTGAACTGGTCGGTAATTCGAACGATTTAATATTATTTTTTATTCTTCTCACACCTTTGTTGCCAGGATTAAAGGCAGTTGGCACGATAATTGGTGCTCGGCCTAAAATGCTAGTAGGGCGCTATATAGTGGGGAAATGGCGAAAGAACGGAGTGAAACGGTCAAAATCCTGCGAAAAAAGAGCCTCCGTTCTCACTGTGTTAGTAATCAATTTTGGACGAGTTTCCCGAAGGCATCTTACCAATAACCGCTACCGAAGGTACGGCTGCATATGTGTACTCATATATCCATGCAGCATCACGACCGCTTCATACCAATGCCTTCGCTTCATAATTTGCTTAGCAAATGAATCAATTAGAGCGTCTGGAACAGTCGTCCATTTGTGGGCGGGCGGGCAAGGGGCGTTTGGGACGTAAAGTTATAAGTGGCTCGATAGCGCCTGGAAAAAGGCCGCTGCTTGTCTTGGAGGATTATCGTGCTAATCTGCCTTTAAGTCATGTTCATGTCCTAACAATTCTTATTTGATGGTCCGAAGTTCTGTGCTTTGCGTCATTTTGCAGTTTCAATAGTATAAATTTGCTATGATATGCGCTTCTTTAATCCTCACGTTTCCTCCTTACAAATCCTGTATATCAGGAGACGTAAATCTGTAAACTTCAGCTCCGGGTGCGAGGGTAATGGGTTCGCAGCTGTTGTGCCACTTTCCGAGCTCAAAAGAAAACGGAGCTGGACACTCACTCACACAATGGAGCTTACAGTCATAGTTTTGGTCTCAGCTCACTACGGCTGTTGAATTCTTGAATTCGTTTGAATATTAGCGACATGGTGTGCTCTTTCTCGTTACTCTATTTCCAGGGTTCTCATGTTTGGATTTTTTTCTTCAGTTATCGAGGCCAGCGAATTTGCCCATGTTAGATGAATTTTGTCTTCATTTATTAGTTTCCTCTGGAACTTGCCACTGAGTTGGTTTGTTTCTAGGAAACACTGGCTGAGTTCGGCGCAATTTGGTACATGGACAGCTCAATAGTTTTCAAGAAAAACAATCTGAGTCACGTTCACCAGTTAGTAAACTGTAGAAGGAAAGTAATGAAACGGTATATTTCGATAGTACATATTCGGTTATTTGGCACCATCCCACTTCCTACAACTACATCGAAAGTGTAGAAATTCTTTTTGCTGAAGCATTGTTCGTGGGGGTTCTTCGCCTTAGTCACCAATGCGGCATCAGTTTCTGGCGCCGGCCCCATTTTGCTCCTGTACTGTAAACGCTCCGCTGTAACATAGGTTACTTCATGTCATTATGAATACAGGGTGGCCAGAAATTAGGGTAGCAAGTCAAAGTGATCATGGGAAACCTAAATTATGAAGAGTGTAAGTGCGCCCATTAGCAACTAAACTAATTTGGCTGACAGCACATTGAGTGGAAAATGTCACCTCTTGAAGTGGTCGACATTCAAGGGAACGTATAAACCGTGCTAAAAACAGTCGCTGCGGAGGGTGGGGTGTGTGTCAGGATGGCTAAATTTGGTGCAGCGCCGACCCGTTCTCACCACTTGTGGAAACTTACAGCCGACCACAACTTGTGGGAAACGGGCTAGCGTCGTACCAACGCCAGTATTTCTGGCACGCTTCAACATCCGCAGCCAGCAATACTGTAGATGGGCAGCATTGAGCTTGCTACAGGGTATCCCTAGCGCTTTTTTCAGCTTGTTGACAATGCGCTCGCCGAGGGCAGACTTCTCTAGCGCATTCCATACAGAGCAGTCCAATTGAACGATGTCATGGGAGCCTAGTAGCTGCTCCATAGTTTGAATACCGATGAGTTCTGTTGGCAATTTTCACACACTCCGCCTTCACTGCTCGAACGCTCTGTCCTACTGAAACGTCCAGTGATTCTTTCCCGCTAGATAGCTCATTGAGCTTTGTAAGCAAAGCACGTCCTGTTAGGCAAGAATTCTGCAAAATGCGTCTCCCCCTTCCCTTAAAATTCTCTTCTCTGAGTGGGGGGGGGGGGGGACGTAAAGCGAACGGGAAAACGAGAAAAGTCAACAACGGAAACATTCTTCGCGAAGGCAAATAGGGCCTTTTCCCAACGACCAAGGAGAAC